CCTCTTTTTTTTTCTTCTTTTTTCTATTCCCTCGCTCTAGTTATGTAGACGGTCACAAATTGTAGCAAAAAATGGCGCATACTATTGTGGAATGTGTGCCGCAAACCATTCCGAGCGAGAAGCGAAAGATAAAGTTTCCTTTGTTCATCAATAAAATCGTTTTTTTTCCTCGCTCTTCTCTTTCTCTCTCTCTCTCCTTGTTTCTTCTATTCTTACATGTTACTGCCATTGCCTTCATCTTCATCATTACTTTGCTGGCAAGCAAGCAATGAAAAAGGGTACAACAGAACATGTAGACTATTTCCCGTGTGGTTTCTAGGATCACTTTTGTTTCTATTTCCATTCGTTTTTTCTTCTTTTTTTTCTCTGTCTTCTGCCTTTGCTTTTGTTGATTGGCGGCAGTTCAACCCGATGAATGGCTATCATAAAATATTGAACAATGCATGTGTATTATAGGTTTTATGGTCCTATCATCAATTGGAAGGTCATATTAGCAGTAGTTCAAATCAACAATGTTGCATTATTGATCTCGACTAACAAACATATCGACATAGAACGAATTATTTTGTTAGAATTTGAAGAAGCAAAGAAAAAAGAAAAGGCCATAAGAAAAAAAAACTAATGAAATTAAGTCTCACGATAATAACGACATTCTATTGCTTATTAAGTTGAATTCAATAGAGAGTATCTAACATCGTTGTCATTATCATGCACAAACCAATTAATGTTAAAAAGTTCAGAATAAATATATCAAAAAAAATGATATATTTTTATTACTTTAGTGATTTTGCAAATTTTGTCACGTAAATCATGTCAATATCTTATAGAAATAAAAAATAAATATTGCTTACTAATGCATCATTGAATATAAGAAGATTTTTATTTCGGTTGACTGACAATTATAAAAATAAGAATAGAATTAAGAGTACATTATAAATGAGTTCAACATGGAGAAAGAAAAAATTTTCATCTTTTATTTCTAATAAAGATGAAATAAAAATACTTATGTTTGTTCTTGATGCAGCCGATAAATCAACAACTTTTTTTTTCTATAACCAATTTCGGTAAACTAGAAGCAAAAATTTCGATGATTGATTTTGTTGTTTTATTTAAACTATGTCATTCAAAAATGTCACACATGAACAACATGGATTCTTGATAGATGGATTAAATATAGAGTTTTACGATGTCATGACGTGTTATGAAAATACGTCAGAATTTTCTATCTGTTATTAATTAACATGATCAGAATACATAAGATGATGTAAATCAAGGCTTATATAAAATAATAAATAAAGATAAATTAAAAGAAATAAACCTATTTTTATAGACGTTCATAAAAGAAAAAGATTTACCTAATGTAGTAATCCTTTCAATACGACAGACGTTTTTCATCTCAGAACATTCCAGATTTATTGATGCGTACTGTTTATCATTGATATAACTGGCATTGCTATACATGATTTAGTACGAATAACAGACATATACATCTTACCAGACTTTAAAAGATTAATAATGCTGATTAGAAATGAAAACTAACATATTTTAACTAATTATTTTACTACGAAAAAAAAGGAATTACGTTCTGAAACATTTTGCTCATTGATATTTTCAAAGAAAAATTTCATTTATAAAAATTAAAATAAAATGAATATAAAATGATAGGTACAAGCAATATCAGTAGTTTAAAATTAAGATATTAATAAAGATTTTGAATGGTTAACAAAAACAATTAAAAAAATAAGAAACAAAACGTTAATCTTAAATAATGAATTATTGAAATAAGATATCATGAAAGATAATCTTTTATTCATATGATAGACAAGTCATTTAAAACCTTTATTTAACATTTGATTTTCTTTTTTTTTTCGTTTAAAAATAAGCTTTCGCCATTCTAAAATATAGAAAATCTAAACAGTTAACTTCAATTCATTCAATATTCAAACCTTGGATAATATTGATGCATGTGTTGAATACCATGTTGAGGTGTAAATCGTGCATGAATTTCACCTAAATCTTGTTCATTTGTATCTTCTATAGTTTGTGGTACGAATACTTCCATTTTCTATTGAAAAAAAAAGAGCTAAAAAGAACAACAGATCAATATATATGTATATACTTGTGTTTCATAACTTTTCGATTGACGATTATCAATTTGTACTGGTATTTGTCGAATACCATTGGATTTATTATTTAAATAATTTTTAATTTGTGTGCGTTGTTGGTAACGACGCCATAAAAGACATAAAACAATAATAGCAATAATCGATAGAAAAAATATAACAATTCCTAAGACAAGTAATGCAATCCAAGGTTCATCAATACGTTTGGAGGGAGAAGATCTACTATTATACATTAGTTCTATTATGAATCTAAAAAAAAAGAGAGATATTGCCTTTGATTTATAATAAATTATGTAACTCATATTTTTTTCTATTCTAATTGAATAACGATAGACGGATGAATCAGGAAAAATTTTGATGCGTCTATACATATATTGTTTTATTCTTCATGCATAATTCAATCATCAACAGTGAATGACATACAAAATTTGGTTAATCCCCATTTGGTTTGTATATATCAACGTATGTAGGCATACAAAGATACAAGAATAAGGTAAATAGACTTACAAATTGTGTGACGAAATATACTGATCTATTCTTTTTTTTTCCCTTCTGTTCTCCTCCTTAGTCTTTACATACAGTTAATCAGCTTTTCACTTATTATATTGATTTGAAAGTACAAAAAAAAAGAATTTTGACATTTTAGAAATAAATCTGCAATTTTATTTGTTTGCTGTCCTTGGCATTAGACATTTCTTTCGTTTGTTGAAATCTATTTCATTTCAACAATTAATTTTTCTTACGATACTTTATATCTTATAACATTGTTTTATACAATTTAATTATAACATGTACAGGTCGTTCCGAATCTATTAAACTACAAATTCATTAATGATAGTACAAGCTAAAATTGTAATTATAGTTTATTTTTCACTTTAATAACGAATAAATTTAATTTTATAATAATTATTATGCATTAGAGAAATGATTCGGAAAATTTGAGAATTAAATTATGTTCATAGTTTAGATATTTCATTTAAAAATACAATAAATATAAAAAATTGTTTACGTAAGAGCAAAGTTAGCTAGATATTTGATAATGAGATGCAACTTGAAATGATGCTAGATTTCTGAAACTTACTTTTGAATTTATGAGATCCATTCAAATGTTGACACTTACCTATTGATAATATATTATACATCGTTGGTGATCTCTTATCTTCATATTTTTAATAAATGGTCGCACAAATACTGCCAGTTATAATAAAACTCTTTAAAATCTTGACAAAAAAAAAACAATTTGGAGAAGTTCCTACTTCTTAGTTTTTCGTGATAATTTCTACATTATTTATTTATTGTTATAAAATTAAACGCACTTTATTTAAATGAAAAATTAACTACATATGTCGCATGCTTGTTTGTACTACCGCCGATATAGCGCACATTGTACTGAACGATCTATCGACGATTTTTGTGTGTATCTCTACTCCTTTCATAGCAACGAAGAGGATAGAGAAGACCAATGGTTATTAGGTACGTCTCTTTAATAACTGATAGCAACAGACGTAAGGCTCCTTTGCTAGAGTTTCTGGGCAATGAAGAAAAGCGCTGGACGACATTAACCACAAGATTTAGACTAGTCTCGAATATTTCAAAGCGTTCTTCGAAACATGAATCGTTGTAATATGTTTATGAATGTTCTCAATAGTGCAGTTTTTTCTTAATTTGGTGCAGATAAATATTTATAATCAAGATGTCAATGATGATAGGGAGTGATGCATTGATATGCCACGTTCGTTCTACGATCAGCATAAAATTTGTAACCTGATCAGGTTATAACTTTGGGAAATGATCAATATCAGTGGTTCTGAGATTATTAAGATATGTCACAGTGCGCTGAGACGTGCTTTAGATACAATGAATATACACAGTTGGCTTATTTACTAGTAAAATTGATCGTTAGAATAATAATCAATATGGTTAAACTAAGAGAAACGGAATACGAAAATAAAAAGCAACGAGCGAATAGCTTTAAGGTGAATCAAAATAGAGCGTTAGTAAAACTAATCTGTTTGAAATGAAGAAATAACTAAAGAAGGAATATATGCAACTGTTAATAATCGATTGAAGTGATATTGTGATTATAAATAGAACTCAGCAAGACTATAACAAGTCTGAATGAAAATATCTCCATAGGTCTTCTTTATAGAGTTACGATCATTTTATCGAATTTTCCTTTAAATTTTTCGCTATAAATAGATCTCTTGATCTTGAATATATCATGAAAGTTTCAGGTAAGACGGATACTTTCTTCTCGACCAATTGAATATACAAACACAGCAATCATATGCCATAAAGAAAATCATAGAGTCAACTTTTCGTTAATATTAAGTGCGTCGAGAAGCAACTATCCATTTGGGCTACAACTTCCAGGATATACTCAGAATCAAGAGATCTATTTATAGACAAAAGTTCACAAGAAAACTCTTTCTCTTCAATTTTTTTTATGAATACTTTGCCATAATTTGAAAATCCAATAAAATAGTCGTAATTCTATCAGGAAAGTCTATTAACAATCGGATATGTTTTATTGTAAGACAGATCGTTTTCATAGTGATTGATTAGTTTAGGCAAACAACAATAATCTGGTAGAGATTTTTCACTTAATTTATTTTGTATTAGTCGAATGAAATTAAAGAACATATGTGAATCCTACATGTTAGCTTCACATGAGTTGCTATGATCAGTGTTTTTAAAACGTCACACGCTCTGAATACCATGGTTTGTAATTTTTTTATATTTATTTTTGAAAAAAAAAGCAGTCAATAAAGAAACAAACTACATACAAAACAAAAAGAATATAGATCCATCTAAATTGAAATTTGAAAAATAAATAGATGAAGTTATTATGAAAATAGAATGTCTTTGTTGTATCTTTTATTTATATTCTGTACCAACAGTTGACAAGTTTTTCGATGGCATAGTTCCCATATTAGCCAATAAAACTTTTAATTCACCAATAGCTTTTCCAGGATTTAAACCCTAAAATAGAAAACAAAAACAAATGATTAAATTGACTTTTGTTGATAATCATTTTCGTTCTTTTACCTTTGGACAAGCTTCCGTACAATTCATAATTGTATGACAACGATACAATGTAAATGGATCACGAAATTGTTCTAATCGTTCTTTTGTATATTCATCACGTGAATCAACAATCCATCTGAAATTCAAATGTTTTCTTTAATAAGAAAAAACAATGAAATATATTCACACATACTTATAAGCTTGCATAAGAACAGCTGGTCCAAGATATTTATCAGCATTCCACCAATAACTTGGATATGATGTTGAACAACAGGTACAAAGAATACATTCATACGTACCATCCTATTAAAAACAAATTGAATTAAAAACAAAAAAAACCGTTCGTTGACATGTATACAAACCAATTTTTTACGATCTTCAACACTTTGAAATAATTGTTTATCACCAATAGATGTAGGTGTTTTACGTTTTAAATAAGGTTCAATCATTTTATATTGCATATAAAAATTAGTAAAATCCTAAAAGAATAAATAAATAAAAGAATACAATACAAAAAAAATTTATTTTAACATACAGGAACAAGATCCTTAATAACATACATATGTGGAAGTGGATGAATTTTTAATGGCTTATTGGAATCATCGATCTTACTAGAACATATCAAAGAAAATAACACAACAACAAAATTGATGTTAAGAATAAGAATTTATTCGAACCAAATGCAAGCAAGTGTATTACGATCATCAATATTCATTGAGCAACTTCCACAAATACCTTCACGACATGAACGACGAAAAGCTAATGTTGGATCAAGTTCATTTTTTATTTTAATAAGAGCATCAAGCACCATAGGACCACAACTATTAAAGTATAATAAATCATTAGAAGAAAACATCCAATATTAATAAAATACATACTCATTTAAATCTATTTTATAATCTTGTAAATATGGTTTTTTATTTGGTTCTTCAGGATTCTATTAAAATAAGAAATTAAAGTATTCAACACACAGCAAGAGAAAGTACAAATTACTCAACGATAAATCGAAACAGTTTTTATTCGAGATTGTGACTCACGTTTTAAATGTTTCATATCTGGCTTTTTTGTATCTGATGCATTTGTTTTTGTTGCTGCTGCAGTGGTAGTATTTCGAACCTAGATTAACATACTAATAATAATATAAATATTCAGAACACATAAATAAATATGAACATGCCTGTGTAATAAAAAATCGACAGGTACCACCAGTTACTGTTATTTTAGTAAGTGCACGAAACATGTATGTAAAATATATTTGAGAATGTTTCTTTTCTTGCAATTACTTTAATAAGGCTACAAGCAAGTCAATTGATGTATCTACTAGCCGATGTGAATGATTCATTGCATAATTTTAATAACGAATCGAATGACATACTTGTGCACGTTGCTTAATCACAGAATCAATTTAAAAGATTTTTTTCAAAAGAGAATTTATGCACAGGCTATAATATTGTTATATTCTATTTTTGTCTTTATCATTCTTTTTCATATTATTAGGATCATTGAGTAGCGTCATCTAGTAACTTGTCTGAAAATGTCTAGCTAAACATTATGTAGAAATATTGTAAGATCTAGCTGATCCTGAAAATATATAAATCTTGATCAATGGCTTAGTTATAATAAAAATGTCACATAATGTATTTAGAAAGAAATAACCATTGAATGAAAAGCGTATTCCATCAATCCATCCATTAGTCAGTAGATATCATGCGGTTAACAATCTATCAAAGATACTATATAAAAAGACGAAACGTCGTTTATGTATCATACTTTTATTCTATTATACTAACTTCAATTCCAACAATCTGTAAAGAAAGAACCACATATTTTTGACTACACTATAGATATATTTGTCAACCGCAAAAAAGCTTTACGGCTAAAATGAAAAGCATAGAAAATTTACTTCGATTATTTCACAGTGCAAAAATGAATAAAATTAGAGAACAATCAATTCATGACTGTTGTCGATTCAAGTCTATGCTTCACATGAAACAATATCATTTTTGGTTTTGTTTAATACAGACGATATAAATATTAGGAGCATAATCAAGTATTCCTTTAGTTACCTTAAATAATAATAGTACTCGAATAAAAAGAGGAAATTGTGCATTTTTAGAAAATGCACGAAGGCCAAATTAGAAAACATGTTTGACCAATCTAATAAATTCATTATCATTAAGGCAATGCTTCAATTACCGAAAAAATATTTCTAGCTAGCATTCTATGATATCTTTTTAATCATATTTTATAAGTCTTGCTTACAGCTGCAATGGTACTATTGCTCATGTGAAATTCATCTCAAAATCGTCAACAAAAAAAAAATCAGATGAATATCGATTTTAATTGGATTAAAAGAACGTCATTTGTACCAATTTTCAATCAAAGTGATAAATATTCGTTTTTCTTCCAAGGATCTACAAGAAATGAAACCTATTCTGGCTTAAATTTTTTTTTTGACAGCTATGAACAATCTTTATCCCTTCACCCTTCTTACTTCCTTTATCCTGAAGTCACTAAAGACAGTATGGAAAGTCAAGAAATAATGATTGTTCATAGCTGTCAAGGAAAAATTATATCAGAATAGCTTTAATTTCACGGAGCCTATGTATTGTTGAGAGGTATTGCAAAGCGATAGAGTTTCATGTTACTCTGAAATTGAATAAATTTTATGGATTAGAATAACAATTATAGTTGACTAGAGTGATAGATGTTCATCTGCATTGTATTCAAGAATAGTGATGACGAGTACTTTCCAATTTCTTCATTGTTGTGGGTTATTTCGCAGTCATTTGGGACAGTATTGCCAATATTCCTAATAACACTCTTGAACTTGTAAATCTTGCACGAGTCATTGTAGAACAAATGATTTGAATAAGAATGAATGTTGATTTTTCTTCCAATAGGTTAGCTTACTATCGACAATAGTATATCTCCTACGAATTTTTTTGTTAAAGCCAAGAGCATGTGTTTTGCGTTGTAACATCTCCAATTTATATTTGTGGTATTGATGACGAGCGTACCCTTACGGTTTCACATCAATCGAGTTTTAATTAAAAACAGCGTGATGCCTTGAGGTTACCGATAAAAAAGAAAGAAAATCTATTGATAATTTTTATTACGCATCTGTGACTTTTACCAATAGTTTTTCTCATGAATTCATTTATCTGTAACGCCTATTTTCTTTTACCAACAGAATTCTTTGTGTCCAGCATTTCTATAATAATAATACATTCTTACCATCCTTATCTATTTCATTTCAACGCTATTTACTATGTATTGCACTTAATACTATATGTGGCCTAGTTTCAAACAGCATTTTTTAAAAGTAAGTCAATTCAAATTTAACTCATTAGATTTTATTAGAATTTTATTCTTTTAGACTTCTAGTCTTGATGTGACCCTTTAATAAATAGATTTTAACTTTTATTGTGAAAGATAAAAATGATTTCATTGTGTTAAATAATAGTTACTAATGATGTTTTATCTATATTTCTTCATATAATGAAATACTTCTGTTTTATTCGAATACAGTTCGATACTTTTACACATATTCGATGCGCAAAAAAGAATATTTTTCTTTATCTGTCACTAAGAGATATGCGCTAGCTGTTTGTCACTATTTGAATCTCACAGGACGTTTACATAGATAAAAACACACCAATGTGTACTCACTCACCATTGCATGCATATTCATTGGCTCTTTATCGTGTTTTCTCTCTCGATTTTTACCGTTCTGTATTTTTTTTTTAATAATATGGACGATAACCTCGACATTCAAAGAAAAAACAAATCTACACGTGCGTTCGCATTTCTTTATAAAGACAAATAATAAATACCTAAAACACAAAAGAATAGACAAACGAAAATTTTTCTACAGGAATCATTACGAAACCGAAGTGAATATGTCATCATCAACCGAAGAAACTCCTCTAATTGAAATCTCAAATGATAATCCTCTTGAACGACCACAGTCACCGTTATGGCGATTATTTCATGGAATACATTACATGATTGGTGGTCTTACTTTTATTACTGGATCATGTATGTATTTTCCTAGTGTTTATAATAAATACTCATCTGCATTCATTATTGGTGGATGGCTTTTTACAATTGGTTCATTCTTCTTTTTACTTGCTGATTTACAAGAATGGTGGTATTATCGAGTTGGTTGTTTTTGTGATCGTAAATATCAATTAGCATTAGAAAGTCATGATGCTATTCTATTTCGTAATCCACGAAATACATTTATTGGTCGATATGAACGAGCAGAAGTAGGAATAAATTTTTTTATGTCTGCTTGTGGTTCTGCATTTTATCTAGCTGGATCTATATTATTTATTCCAGTGTTCAGCAAAGAATTAATTTTAGGTGAATGGTTTTTTATTATTGGCTCAGCATTCATTTATTCATCTCAAGCTTGGAAAGTATATCGTTCAGCTTGTACAAATATTCATGATAGACATGATCGTCGATTTCGTTTATCAAATTTATTAAATGATATTCCAGCATTAGGTGTCGATGGTTTTGCTGGTATTGGTGGTGTTTTTTATTTTATTGGTACCATCTTATTTCTTCCACCTTTCAACAAGACTTATTCGGATGCTGTTCGTGTTGCAATTCTATTTGTATGTGGTGGTACAAGTTTTACATTATCTGGCTTGTTTCTTCAGTATCGTCATCATTTTACTCATCATGATTAACATTCTCAAGGTAGCATTATAGTTTTAGTTTTTAGGTCCATACAGAGAACTAAGTAAAGCGTCAGTGAAACAAAAAAAAACTATCAAATAAAGATTGATATACAGAAAAATATAATCCAACCAACAAACGCACACGTGATCGGATGTATTGTCATTTTTTTCTTTTTTCTGGTTTTGAATAAAAGAATAAAACAGGAAAAAAAAGAAATGATTAGTGAGAAGTGTGATAACAACAAAAACAGAAGCAACAAATTACTACGGTAGTATTTTCAACTATTCCTCTCACAAGTAATCAATCAAAAATTCACATTTACGTGCTAACTGTTTGAATAAAAAAAAAACAAAATGAAAGAACGAAAAAAAACTGAGATAAAACTATTTATCACAAAAAAAGTATACTATCAGAAAGAATTTAAATCAAACGAAAAACAAAATAATGCTTTCAAGATTATCATGTATAAAAACAATAAGACTAGATTTGTTAATTAATTTTGAGGGTGTAAAGAACTGAAAATTCTGCAGAAAGAGTCTACTTTTGTCTTTCTGGCAGAAATTGAATAGCCAATGCTGAAATCATCGTCTCTCTATAATGTTTTGTCTGAGAGAGCATCTTCGTATTAATGTATAGTAGGAGCAGAGCTAAAAATGCTAAATTTGCATTTCTGCCACGATTAGCCATCAGACTAAAATTTTTTTTTAAAAATTCGACATTTTTCGAAAGAGTAGTTTCCTGCCATCTCTTGCCTAATCAGTGATCTTGAGAGAGCCAAACAAAAAGTTATTTGTTACATTCACTTTTTTTTATTATTATCATTCGTTGATATTGCTGTTAAAAATAAAATTTTTTGTTATCCATCATATTCAAGTGTAGTTTTTGATTCGACTTCATTATTGATTGAAAGATAAAATGAATTAAATGTTGAATATTGGACATTCTGAGAAGTACAAAAAAAGACACACACAGGATGTCCCAAAAGTCCCTTCCACTGAAATTTTTCGTATATTTTTTTTACTTAATTGGATTACTTCTTATTTGCGATCATATATCAAATAAAATTTTAAAATATTATTAAAACTTTAAACCTCAGTCAACCTTAAAGTTAAGAAATTAAACTATTTGTTTTTTCAAAACTACAAAAACTTAATTAATTTAATTTTCAAGTTTTTATTGATAAATGCTCATATTTAACAATTTTCACTTTCAAGTTCGAATCACATAAAGTTTAGGAAAATGCAGAGTCCGCTAGAATATCTAGCATTAATCTAGCTGAATGTAAAAAAGATTTATAAGTGCCGCGTGTAGTCTGTTTGAAGCTAAGTGAATGCGGTCTGAAAGTGTCACTTCTCATTTTGGAAGATTAGTGTAAGAACACTGCAGCAAAACAAAATTAGTTTCACATGTCAAGTGATTTGATTCAGAAAGCTTTATCAGTTCTGGATTAATTATGAATTTTGTTACTTCACCAAAAAGAAGATTCTATAAATGAGATGTAGTGTTAAATAAATTGTTTTAAAAAATGCCAATGAAATCTTGTCGCATTTTATACTAGGTCATTTAAATAGGTTGATCGCGTGAAATTTTTTTATAAAACCTTTTTTGGAACGTAGCAAAATCATAGATTTAGTTTAAGTACTATGAATCTTAAACTTAATCAGAAACGTTTTTAGGAAGGTGATTTACTTAATTCTCATATTGAAAAACGAACCCTAATTCAGCTCGAGCAAGGGGCGCAAAATAATGAAAGTGTTGATGAAGATCGAAGGGAGATTTTGAATTGTTTCTCTCATATTCCACAAACATGATTCAATATCCATTCAAAGTGTGAGCTCGGTGGACGCTTGTTCGAAGAGAACTCGAATATCAACATCTAAATCTTGTCCCGTTTAAATTTTTTCCACAGTTTTCGTTGTTGAATAAGTATATTTATAGGTTCCAATTAGTTTCTTTTCAGTGGGCTGTTGATCTTATGTTATTATAGAAACTGAATAGAGTTCCACTACAAAAACAGGCTTATGACATTCATATTGGTAATTCAGTCTAATGAAATCTAAATATGAGACTTAATTTCGAAGAACAAGAAGAGCCCTACGTAGTTTAGCGAACTCTGCTAATAAGCGCTGAATACATTGAAATCCTGCAAGCATATATCAAGTGAATTATATATTTTCCTAAACCAAAATATAGAAATTGCATAAAAAACAGGAGCGAACTTTACAAATTTTAATTCTTCAAACAAAATGGTTGTTAAAATTCGTTTCAGTATCTTATAAATGAATATATTTCGCATAAAGCTTTCTAATTAAAGCAAAATATAATATTAATTAAATATAGATGCAGTCTTTTTGTTTATCTTTATTTATAATTTCTTGAAAGTGAATATTGTATTTCTTTTAATAAATAAATTGATATTGAAAAATGTTGAAGTAAAGTAACATATAAATCATGTGGGCAATATTTAAATATTAAACTCAATTATTAAACCAACAGATCAGTATAATAGAATGTTTTAAATAGAATATTCGAATACTTGGACTGAGCTTAAAAACTCTTATAAGTTTGAACAATATATAAAAGCTTCCGCTCTCCTCATGGACAAGCCCTATTAAACAGTAAAAGCCCCTTACAAAAAAAAAGAATTAAACTCTTAATTAAAATAAGTCAGTTAACAAAAGAATATGTTTTTAGAATTTCAGAATCTATCTATTTGTCTGCGAATACATTGAAATATACAAGTCTAGAATGTATATTCCTACGACAGAAGTGTTTTAAGATTGTTTTGTCTGCTATTTAAGTGAAAGTTACTGAGCACTTAGAACGATTAACGATAAGAATATGCAACGAGAATAATCTTGGGTGTTCTATTTTTGATCGATAAATCTTTCTTATTTATGCAATCTTCTATCTGATCGTGGTACTCCGTGATCAGTCGACGATGTGTAGCTAATCTCATGATACTACTGTATCGTTGTAAATTGTTTGCTATTGATGATATCCTCATGAATTACATTCTTACTTATACCTGTGTCTCTCATTTTCTACTTAATAAGAAAAATTAAATTAATTCAACCTTTTTATTCGTATAGTCGTATTCTTATTAAATTGAATATTTTTATTATTTAATGAACACTTGGTACAAATTTGTTTCTATGTGAGGAATGTCGTTGAAGATGAAAAGAAAAACAAAACGACTAAATTCTATACAAATTGAAGTTTTCAGCATGTCGTAATTCAACACCACTTATTCAATCAAAGGTTACTGTAAATGAAGAAAAAACAGTCTATAACAATGACAAAACTATTGAAATTTCAAAATTTGACAAATCGATTGTTTCTCTAATTATATCAAACAATGTCTAATACTAGACCAGATATGTTTACAGAGTAGGGAAGGTGAAGTGGAGTGAAGTCTTTATACTCTACAAATTTGATCATAAACATTTCAAGTTTCTATCTTCAAAATGAGCACGTTTTATCAGTTTTTGAATGTCATAAGTTGAATATAGACTGAAGAGAATCATATCAATTGATATACATAATTGTCATCTATAAATGTAAAATCTAATGAAAAATGATAGAAAACAAAAAAAATTACTAAAATAACAACCGAAAAATTGTATTTGTATTTCTCATACTCGTTCTTTTACCCTAATAAAGCAAAACATTAACTTGTAAGTTCTATATTCTTTGGCTTTGATGAAGACATTTATCTACTTTCTACTGCTGATTATAGTGATGCATCTAATTTGTTTACACCTTGTCTTGTCGATCACTTAACTTCATCTTCTTCAACTTCTTGTGCTTCTAAACAATTAAAGCAATTCCTACTGGAAAAAGCCGAACAATTTCACATTAAAAGAGTGATTCAACGAACGCATCGACGTCTTGAAGGGTGTGGATGTCAGTTTTGGAATACGTATGGATTCATTCTCTGTAAGCATTATACAGATTCATATAGACAATGTTGACATTATATCTAAAATCACATCGGTATATATTGTTTTTCAAGTTGAAATTTAATTTAATTTTGCTCATGCAGATATTATATCCCAAATTTGAAAACATTGACCATGACAATCTATCATAATATTCTTTGCTATGAAGCATATATATTCCTTCTCTTTTACAACGTTTGTCATATGTTCGACATTGGACATTATTGCTGTTTATTGGTTTAATAAGAAATAGACCGGAGTGTGGGTGTGGGGTGTTAACACCCACACCCACATCCACACTCACACCCCTTCTTGAGTTAATAATCTAACAGTATATCATGTAATAATAGTAGAGTTAATGACTTTTCTTTTCAAACCATATTAGAAAAGATAAATATTCACTTGAGAAGATGTGATTGTCATTGACTTATTTCCATAAATGTGCATATATATTCAAGTAAACACACAGAGAGATAATAGATACCATTTTATCTGCCACAATGATCTTCCGACGCTTTTACACAGGCATGCTTTTTCTTTTGATTTGATAATGGTCAAATACGTTATCCATTTCTAAGATAACCATTGATTCCATTGAATTGACTTCATATAAATTACCCAATCTGTTACTACCTATCTCAAAAGAACTTATTGCGCAAAATAAATCATCGTTAGTTGAGAAACTGGGCATAATACTATATCCGCATCTGCATCTTGCTGACGATACAGTATGTGCAGGTATGATCAATGAATATAATTATGTAATTATTGAAGTTCTTCGTTATAGTCCTTTAACATAATATGAAACCTGTGGTATAGCTTTTAATTGTCTACGTCAACCTGATATTCTTGCTCTTCAATGGAACGTTACTTTTCCTTCTTTAACTCAGCAAGTACTTTCGTCTTCACATCTGTCTATTGATTATTCATCCTCCACATATATTCTCTCAGGTCTTCATTTAGCTGATCTGTATATTGATATAGAATATAGACCTGATTCAAATGCTAGTTATGGTCGACCACTTTGTTGTCGAGATGGAATACCAAAATCAGATGAATTAGGAGCAGGATTTTAGGCTGCTTATCGTATATGTCATCTACCACTACGGATAGCTGAAAGTATGTTAAAATATATTGTTCAAAATGAAAAACAGATTGACTTTATTTATTTTACTGGTGATATTGCTTGACATGATGAATGACAACCGACTCAAGACAAAGATCTCGAAGAAATTTCTTTTACAACTCGTTTATTAAAAAGAATATTTTCCAACAAAAAAATTTATTCATGTGTTGGTAATCATGAAGCAGCACTGTATTATCTTTTTCCAACAGATAATATATTACGACTTTATTCAAATTTAGCTTCTTGATAGATTGACCAATTTGGTCTTGATGAACAAATCAGGGACACTATTTTCAAAGGAGATTTGTATACGACCATAATGTTACCAAAAATTCGTTTGATTTCATTAAATATGAACTATTGTACTGGCAACACGGATTGGATTTTCATTAATTCAACAGATCCTCTAGGTCAATTACAATTGGCAAGTTTTATATATCTTTTTTTCCTCATATTAGTAGCATTTTCTAGAAATAAAATCTTGATTTATGTTCGTCTTACAATTGATCCAATGGCTTCAATATGTGAAGAACATCAAGAAAAAGTTTATACTATTGGACATTATTCATCACGAATGTGTATGGTATCATTTAGTTGGGCTTATTATAGCATTGTCAATCGTTATCAAAACACGATAACTGGCCAGTTTTTTGCTCATACCCATTTTGATGAACTTACCCTTTCTTATAATGAAACAGATTCTAAACAATCGGTAGGTTTTATCCAAACATTACTTCAGGTTATCGAATCTAGGGTATGGGTGCAGATTATGGAAACAGACTCACCCACATCCACTCACATCCATAGCCACACACTTACATTCTCGAAAAAAATTTGTATCGGGTGATGCTAGCAAATGTCGCGTTGTCTTGTCAAAAAGTGCTTGAGGACACGACATCTCCATGGGAACATACATCTCCGATTTCCTGAATATGTAACTCCTCTCTAGATATAACAATCTTATTGTAGGAAATCGATCAATTATCACTTATCGAACAAATTAAATATTGAGATGTAATGGAATATTTTGCATGCATTTAGAGAAACGATAATTTAACCAATCGAATGAACGAAAAGACTCAAATGTAATAAGAAAAATTTAAATGATAGATAGAGTTTTTTCATCGTGACAAAAAAGAAACTATTCAGTAATGAATGTTGCTATGTTTGCAGAACTGTTTTTCAATAACAACGGCATCCACACTCTGAAAAGCCGACTCTTGATATTTATCATGATTTAAGTATAATCAAAATTGAATAAGCCGTTCAGTGAATACATAGTGATCATTATGATGATTTTCGTTTAGAAATTTTTTTTTTCTAGGTAATGGTGCGATATTCAAAGGATTAATTTTTATTGATATGAAAACCAGTAAAGAAAATAGTAGATGTGTGAATGAAAAGAAGATCCAGAATCACAGCCATACCTATTTTCTTGATGAGATGCCGTTTATGATGTCATTTTAGAAAACAAACTAAGAATAAACTGTTGGTAGATGATAATGAAGACAGGAATAAAAAAAGAACGGCAACAACAATTTATATGTGCGTTTTATTTGTATTGTGATAAAAAAAAAAGTAAAGACACACAAGCATGCATTTGCATGCTTTTCTTTTAACGAAAATATTTACTGTACAGGTGACGATTTGTTCGGTTTTTTTGCTTCATCAACTTGCATATTTTTTAGAAGGAAAAATGTATGCCTTCAAAGTAATCTACCGCTCACTAAGGCATTCAATATAAATCACATCTGATTGTGTGTATGTGATTCAGGTATTATCTTCATCTAAACCAACATCCACACTCTTATTTATAATATTTTTGTACAAGGGCAAATCCAAATACTAAGCATTTGGTCTCGAATTCCAAAGTCTTTTTCTGACTGTGCTATATCTTTAGTAAAATAGATCATCATTGAAGTCACTTTATATTACCTTATCGCTTTAAGATTTAGGTGTTTTGAGACCAAATCGAAACTGGAATACAAACCAAATCCGAATTGAATCTTAAATCTAAAACAAATAATTGCAAATGCCAAACCTTTAGATTTGTGCACTCTTGTGTTTGATAGACACGTCTGCATGTCTAGTGACATATTTCTGCGGAGAATATTCGAAAGGTGTGCATATTTCAAAACTATTTTACTTTATTTTAGTTCTTTTCTTCATTAAATACCGAGGAATACGAGTAAAAACAAGTATGTTATCAATGAAATAGTGAAGCGAACCGTCTTCCAAATAACCGAAGAATGAAAGAAAGTGTGTTATTACAAACTATGCTTCATACATCTTTGCAGTATCACATTAACAAGTAGATAAATAAATGCATCATAACTTCTACAGATATATTTCATTTTTTGTAAATATGTATTTCATATTATTTACGAAGAATAATGGTTTGATAACATCAATCGAATTAAATGTTCCTGAGTCCATTATTTTCAATGAAGAGGTGATCGATGAATTTATTACAAAAGAAATTCAACAAGGTTTTCCTGGTGCTGCTCTTATTATAAGTCGATACGGTAAGATATTAAAGCAAACTGTCTATGGTTACAAATTAAAATATGATGAAAATGCGAAAATAATACAACAACCACAACTATTAATATTAGACACCATGTTTGATTTGGCATCATTAACTAAAATGTATGCAACAAACTATGCGCTTATGCACCTGGTTGAGCAAGGAATGTTGAATATTGATGATCCAGTTAAAAAACATATACCTCAATATTGTGGATGTAATCCTGACAAGGAATGTCGTGAGGCAAGATTAATAAAAGATTTATTGACACATACAGCTGGATATGCTCCAAGTGTTAAGTTTTATGATCCAGAGAAAGTTTCATCGGATTTATTCTCACAAGATAAACATGAAACTGAAGATATTATCGAAACCAAACTAGGATTTCAACGATCGAGAAGTGGTGATCAATTACCCGTTTATTCTGATATTGATTACATGCTTTTGGGACTAGTTGTTGAGCATATCAGTGGCATGTCAATTGACCAATATGTAAAAATTAACATTTATCAGCCATTATGCCTCACACATACATTATTTAATCCTCTCAATAATACAAACTATCAAAGATCAAATTTTGCTGCTACTGAATTAAATGGAAATACACGTAATCATACAATAAACTTTCCTAATGTACGTACTCATGTGTTACAAGGTGAAGTCCATGATGAAAAATCATTTTATTCAATGAATGGTTTATCAGGGCATGCTGGTTTATTTTCAAATTTAAATGACATGTCGATTCTAACTCAAATTATGTTGAATAATGGTACATATGGAAATGTTAAATTTTGGAGCAAAAATGTGCAAGACCTATTTCTAAAGCCATATGCATATGATCCAACATACGGATTAGGATGGCGTCTAAATCGTAACAAGTCTTTATCATGGTTCGGTCTCTATGCATCCAATGAGGCGTATGGTCATACAGGGTGGACAGGAACATGCACTGTTATTGATCCACAGTACTCAATGGCCATTACTTTATTAACTAATAAACGACATACACCATACATCAATGGAACTTTCGACGGTGAAAAATACGAGACAGGAAAATATGGTAAAATAATGACACTAATCTATGAATCAATGTTGTTGCACAAAGTTCCGTCGAGGAAACTTCGAGCATCTGCTATGAGCGATTGACTTCAGCAAAGAAGTTTCTAATTTTCTTTTTTAATGGACAAGCATTTGAGTAAGAACTTTATTGAATTCATAGTTATTTTGTCGATGCTTCTACTGTCATTATCAGAACAAATGTACACCGATTAATAAACATATGTAAGAGAGGAAAATCGAAGAAGAATTAATATCGGCGCCAAAATATAAGGCAGGTGGTTGTTTTTTGAATAACTCAAAAATCACAAAAGCTATCGACCTGACGTTTTCAGCAATAGAAAGAGAACACTCTTATACGTTTTTACCTGCAAACTCAATTCCTAAAAACCTTTTGATATAGGAGGTTTGAAATATTTTCTGGAAAACAAGGATTTTGCTTAAAAGTTTCGAATAGAAACCTACCGTTGTTTTTTCATAGATAGATAACTATGGGTCTTCTCTACCATTTTATATTAGAACATAGATGGTTCTGTCTTTTCTCTATCAGCTGGAGGCAATTTTTTGCCAAGCACTAGAACTTCTCAATCCTTAAGACTAGCGATGTCCAAAATACTTTGAAACACAGGTTATTGACTATGCTGAGTGTTGTGGCAAGTTTATTTTATTTTTCGGATAATAGCTTCTTGATGAATGATACACGGAGATACATAGTAAGTGAAATTTCTATATATGATACTTCTTTTATTCTTTCTTATGCGTTCTGTTTCGAAAAATTGATAATCGAAAATGCCAATTGTTAAAAGTCCTTCAAAAATTCTTGTCCTTGAGGCGTCGTTAAGCTGCCATTCGCATCTTATGTCATCACCATAGGAAACTGGTAGATCAAAAGACTACGGGTAGTGAAGGTATACAGACAATTCCAAATGATTAAAATCCTTAACACAATGTATGAACAGTCCAAAACCAACAAAATATCAAAACGTATTCTGAATGATAGTACTCTTCACAGGGAGTAATAAAAAGTGTGTTCTTTTTCTCGTTAAGGATAAATCTAATAACTATCATCATGGTTCTAACAGATCACAAACCCTCAATTTCTGTTTTATTTCATTTCTAGCTATCACATGACACTTTGTATCCATGTTTAAAATAGATGCATGGAAACAGAATGCATAAGAAAGAATAAAAGAAGCATCATATATAGAAATTTCACTTTCTATGTATCTCCGAGTATCATTCATCAAGAAGCTACATTCCGAAAAATAAAATAAACATTGCTACAAGATTCAGCATAGTTGATAACCTGTGTTTCAAAGCATTTTGGACATCGCTAGTCTTAAGGATCGAGAAGTTCTAGTGCTTGGCAAAAATCGCCTCCAGCTGACAGAGAAAAGACAGAACCATCTATGTTCTAATACAAAATGGTAGAGGAGACCCATTAGGGGTGGTGCATTAGCATTAGTATTAGCATTAAATTAATGCTAACACCAATATTCTTGTTTTCCGTTCCTAAGAAAAAGTATTTGAATTTGTATTGATTAATGTAAGGTTAGACGCAGCCAGCAGCCCTGATTAATTCTAATACTTTTATGTTACAATTTTAATATAAAAGTATTGTAGCTGATATAAATTAATACTATTATAAGCATTCACTTATTATTAGTTACAATGTTTTTATATTAAAATTGTAACACAAAAGTAATGGAATTAATCAGAGCTGTTGACTGCGTCTAACCTTACATTAATCAGTACAAATTCAAATACTTTTTCTTAGGAACGGAAAACAAGAATATTGGTGTTAGCATTAACTTAATGCTAATACTAATGCTAATGCACCACTCCTAAGACCCATAGCTATCTGTCTATGAAAAAAAAATGGTAGGTTTCTACTCGAAACTTTTAAGCAAAATCCTTGTTTTTCAGAAAATCTTTCAAAACTCCGATATCGAAAGGTTTTTAGGAATTGAGTTTGCTGGTAAAAATGTAGCCTAGAATGTTCTCTTTCTATTGCTGAAAACTTCAGGTCGATATCTTTTGTGGTTTTTGAGTTATTCATAAAACAACCACCTGCCTTATATTTTGGCGCCGATGTTAATTTGAATGTAATTTAATTCAATTTTCCCTAGACTGAAAGGATAGGGTCTAGAAACTGGAATTTGTCGGTAACATGGCACAAGTGGCCATTTTTTTGGCATAACAAACCATTTTTATGGCACAAATGATCATTTTTTTGGCACAAATGGCTATTTTTTTGGCACAAGTGACCATTTTTTTAGCACAAACGACCATTTTTTTACTAAAATTAACTAGGTAACTATGGTACAAATGAGCGTGTAACCAGAGTTGCCACCTCTTCTGCTTTTAGCAGAAAAATTCTGCTTTTTGAAGATTTTTCTGCTTTTTTTCTGTCGTTTCTGCTTTCTGAGCATTTTTCTGCTTTTTTAAAATATTGTATTATTGATATTTTTAATCAAGATTTTTGCTTTTAAAAGATTTTTTCATCATTATAACAAAGTTCTTGACCATACTTACTAGAGATGTATTGAGAATGAATAGTGCCTAATAAGGATAACAACTTCTCTGTTGCAAAAATCCACAAAACTCGACGTGATTCTTATGGAGAATTGCTGAAGTTGATTTCATTTAGCTATGTGTACAATCAAACAGATTGACTGAGATTAGACCTTTTACTTTCTTATCGGTCTGGTTGGTTGTATGCATAGCTAGATGAAATCAAGCTAAGTAATTCTAAATAAAAATTTGATTGGATCTTGGCAATTTTGACAAAAGAAAACTTTTCATCTTTCTTACAGAATCCTCACTCTCAATACATTCCTAATAGTTATTGATGTTTATCTTCTATTCTAAATGATGATAATTCAACAGTGAACAAAATTGTCAGATCCGATCAGTTACGGGTGTTTATTTTTCCTCTCATTCAATCACCACATTTTAAAAAGTTCATATATTTGTTTTATTCTCTATCATGTGAAATGCTTATGCTGACTCAGCATTCTCATAATTGAAACATTTATTATATGATCAAAGGACTGCATGAGAAGAAAACTTATATCACCTGAATTAACAATACGTTTAAAGTTTTCCTTATCATGAATAAGATGTGTAAATATTTATTAGATAATCAAGATTTATTAAAAGCTACTTAACCAGATGACAAATATGTAGTCAATAGAAACTGTATCTAATAATTCTATTTGTCAATTAAGTAGTTGTATTTCTTGACCTTGTACAATCCTATTTCTTTATGGATTGACTATTTTTCATGCTTCTGTACAAGAGAGATCAAAATTTGATATGAAAATTCTTCATTAGTACATTGGAACAAAGTTTTAAAATCGTTTACATCACAAAAAATATGCTTTCTGCTTTTTTTCTGTTTTTCAGTAATAAAATTTCTGTCATTTTCTGCTTTTTATAAACTATTTTCTGCTTTTTGGACTTCAAAAGGTGGCAACACTGCGTGTAACTATGGCACAAACGGTCATTTTTTTGGTACAAACGGCCACGTAACTATGGCACAGGTGACCATATAGCAATCATGGTACAAACAACTATTCTGGTAACTATGGTACAAATGACCATCTAAAGACTGATGTAAATGAACCCATAATAATCATGGGTAAAATGTCAACGGAATAACTATAATTCGGGTAGTGGTGTAAAACGGCTTACAAAAGCATTTAATTAGTGAGAGTCAGACCAAATGAGCAGTATGGATTTAAAGAAATCGTTTAAATTATTCATTATTATAGGATTGATTGTGAAATGTTGTATCAATGAATATCTAATTTATTAATAGTTTAGAATAAATGCGCAAATTTAAGCATAAAATATTGATTAATAAAACTCAAATTTTATGAATAATATAATTCATATTTTTTTACGTACAAATAGCGCCAATATAATTATAAAAAAATGGTATTGTTGTCTAATCTTATTGGGCGCTATTTATATTTATTAAAGCAAAAAAAATTAAAACAAAAACGATAAAAAAAATTAAATTTGTAAATGCATCATCTTTACTTAGAGTGAGAATTCTCCAAATTAAGTTTTCTGGTCGCCTAAGATATATTGGTCATATTATCAATTTTACGTATTACTTTTTTAATGTAGCTTTTTATGTTATTACATCCGTACATGTATTCTATCAGTCTAGGGCTAAGTGAATCGCTTGACGATGAACGTTACTTGTAATTTAATTTAGTTTCAATTGAACCTCAGTTTATTTGAATGCCACTAAAACTAATTCAAATGCAATGTAAATCAATTTAAATCACTCGCAATCAGTTTTGCTTGATTTAATGATTTGATTTTTATTCAGTTCATACGAGATCGAAAATTTCGAATTATTTGATGTGATTTTATAAAAATAAACATAATTAATCAGACCTTGTAATATCATCATTATCTTGCTTCTTTCACGATGCAATAATTTCTCTACTATTGCTGTCATCATGTACAAGAGTCTGACGAGCAATTTTCATCGATTCAGAAAAATTATCTGTTTTACTTTAGATATATTATCTAGCTTCATCATGTAAGTCAAAATTTCTGTTTCCAATTATTATGTAAACTTTCACTATAGCAAAATTCACTACAAAAACAATTCTTATCTAACCTATCTCTGTGAAATACGTCATTAACATCCTACTATGTCAAAGAATGAAATGATTGAATATGAAAAATAATAACTTTCAAAGAACTCATTGATATCATTGAAATAAGATGTAATATAGTTAATTGCTACATTGACACATAACTCAAATACTTTCATTAAGCATTTACTTTTACTTTCATTAGTTTCTACTGATTGTTTTAGTACTAAATTTATATTATTGGCATAATAATTGGCGACGAACTTTTTAGGTAGTTTGATTATCAGATTGATGACTATAAAATGAAGATCAGCTAATTTGTTGTAACGAGAAAAATGGTAATTCCTAGCTAAAAATATTTATGTAATTATCAAAAATGGAAAATAGTTCACAAGAAAAAAAGTTAATAAAAAATAAGAGCAACAGCGAAGAGAAGACCAAGGAGACAACGTCGAAGAGATTGAGAAAAAT